TAGGGCACCAAAAACGTGGCTATCTTATTCCTTAGGGTTTCTAGATGTTTTTGAGTGCCTCTCCTCTTCCCCTTCTTCATCCTTTTGCTCTTGGTGTTTGTGAGCCATTAGAGGAGTGACATTTGTGACTCTAAGCTTTTTTCAGAAGCCAATTATTGGAAGGAATAGATTGTTATTGCTACATAACAATCAAGGTAAGATCTAAACCCTATTCTTATGTTAATATCAATTATCACATGCTAGATCTAGGGTTTATGGCTTTGGATGATTATTGCATGTTCATTAGACAAACTAGATCCAAAGCTTTAGGGTTTGCATGTACACCATAGGAATGTTGTAGTGCTCGTAACCCATCAGAAATAATATGCATTTTCTTATTCATCACCGAAATGATGGTAATGATGGAAATGAAATGAATTTATAATGTTATCCACACTATTTACCTAACTACCAGTGCCTTAGCAACTTTGTGACTCTTCCTGATCCAAGTGTGAGTCATGTGCTTCGGGTAGTATAGGCATCTACTACCTTTCACACCTGCTCATACTTGTCCCAAAAATTGTCTCGTCGTTTCTAAGTCACTTCCGATACTATATACAACGATCACTAAACATATATGTATGTGTCCCATGAGCACATATGACAAGTTTTTCCTAAACTCCATTAGAGCATTGCATCTTTACTGATGCCTTATTTACAAATATTGCCCTATCAAGCATATATTAAATTTTCTGGACTCTCCTTCTAAGATCTATTTCTACTTTACCCTACTATTAGTTAAGGAAGAGCTTCTACTAATATTAGCTAATTATCGGACAAATACAATTGCATGCCGCTAAAATCAAACAGTTTGTTGACTGAATGATCCGACACTACAACGGTTGGACTCAAACAAGAGTTGTGCAATAGCGTTGAATGAAGCAATCTAAAACTACTTAATTTTGGGAGCGTGCAACCTAACGTATTTGTCAAATAACTAATTAATATCAATATAGGTTCTAAACATAATTAACAAGCAAATCCCTAGGCTATACAACATCTAATTTATCAGGCAATTCTAATCTACAATTCCTGAAAAGATCCCTAGCCTACATACTAGCATGCATTTCTAACATTTCATATATATCAGTAAACATAACAAATATGAATATTTTTTGAATCACTTTCCTTTTTAAGCTTTGGCTGACTGTACACATCACATTCTTTTATTCTTGTATTATTCTTTTTATGAAAAGATTTTATTAATTACTCAGATCCTTAGTTTGAGTCTGGAATCACACGAGTGTTCATCCAGTTCACTCAAACCAGGACTCTGATACCAACTTGTAACGTCTCGATTTTCAACCCAAATTTTTCATTTTTATTTATTAAAATATATCAAAGTTATATTTACATTATGTGGAATATGTTACGAATGCGTATGTGTACAGTGGAACCTTGCCCTTCTCACGAAGTACCTGAAAAACATTTGTAACAACTGGGTGAGCGTTACGCTTAGTGAGTTCCCCAAAATATTATATCCCACAATACATATACAATGCATACACATGATGGCCTTCAGCATAAAGATGGTCCGTCCTTGGCCTTCAGCATGAATATAGTCCACCCTTTTTGCCTACAGCATATAGCTGGCACTTTGAGCCTTTAGCATAATGCTAGTCCGCCCGAGTCTATTGGCCTTCATCCCGAGGCTGGACCGCCCTCAACTCGCCACATAATTATATCAACACATATATTTAGTGCAACATGCAATAATCTAATACTACATGCAACTAACAAAACTAGCCTAATGGCGTACTATTGGGCAACTATATCCTTACATACAAATGATATATACTAGAGCACATAATATAATGAGAAAACTCACCTTGACAATGACTCGGAAGATTGACAACTATCTGAGTGATTCTACTAACGATCCAACTGGCGGATAACACGTTGAACGAGTATTAATCTATTACCTATAATATTTTATCCTCTTAATCTCTACGGCAATCTGGTAATGAAAACTAGATCTTTCACTAATCCTAACGAATAGCAATAATTCTATCAAGTAAGGATCAGTCAGGCCGGACAGTTGGGAGGCATGATCATTTCAGCACATAGCTTTTCTGAAATCCGAAAACCAAGTCAACGTAACCATTCCAGACACTTCTCCCGTAAGTAGATCAATCAGTATTTTGATTTGGAATTATTGATAAATCTTATTTATATGGTCATAATAACGACTTATGGCTATAAATATAAGTTACACTGAAAACAAAAGAATGTAGCTTAACTTACAGATGTTTCCTAGACAAAGTCCAGAAATTGCACTGGCAGAACTCCGGCCTAATAGTTATTAGTTGTCGGGCTCTCCGGGGACTTAAAGCTTCACTAAACTATCCTAAATACTAAGGAGATTTTGGAACTATAACTCAGAATTTCAAGAGAGATAATTGGGGGGTGTAAGGGAGAGAATGAGGGTTGTTTTCCTTTTATAGGCAATTTTTGGGGAGCACGTCGTGCATTTTATGGTGACGTCTCCCCAACCATTTTGTGTAACGTATCAGGCTCTCCGTGGTCCGCGTTTTCACCTTCTAAAAGTGCGTGTCGTGCACCACGCGCGGCGCAAAACGTAGATTTTGTAAATTTCATAATTTCTTCATACGAACTCCATTTTTTAAGTTCTTTTTTCCACGCGTAGCTCTCAACGAGTACTACAACTTTCATTTAGGCTCCATCAGCTAACTCTGAATTTATTTTTAGCCCTTATTTTTATATGATTTAATGATTTTGAAAAATCATAACTCTCTCGTACGGACTCCGATTTTGGTGTTCCTTTTACCAAAATTTCTATATTAAAAAGTACTACGATTTTCATTTTTGCGACTTTACCCAAAAGTCAACCATTCTTTCATATCTTTTGACGTTAATAATTTTTTAATTACGCGGTTGATTTTTATATCTTATAAAATTCAAATCTCCTTCATATGAACTCGAATTTTTATGAAATTTATATTTTCGGGATCG